TGCCTCTCTTCTTGAGAGCATTATCACATTCTTCTTTGCACTGTTTTTAGATTCTCTCTAAAGTTGTGTATTTTTAGAGCGTGTGCTGTAACATTTTGCCCCCTGTGTTTATCATCTTTATCAGCGCCACTCGAAAGATCGGTATCCAGTTTCAGTGCAACTCGTACAGCCTTATCGGTGATAAGGCTGTGAGCTTTTCTTGTCTGTCTGTTTGCCTCTGTGTCTGTGTGTATGTTATTGCGCAGCTGATGATAAGAAAAGGGCAAGAGAGAGGAAATATAAAGCAAGCTACAACAAAAAGTAGAACAACTGTTTGCGTTTTGTATCTCCTCCTCACGGAAATGTGGCCAAGTGTCTCTGGCGTGTGTGCAGAGTATCTTCAACTTTTATTAGCAAAATGCCCAAACAGCCAACTTTTCTCCTCCCCCTTTTTGAATCCCTTTTCTTTGGAACTTTTCTGCTTCTGCTCTTTATCACCTCTTTAAACTGTTTCGCCAACTGCACCTCCAACAACACAGAGAAGCAGCTGAAGGACGATGCCAGTAAGAGCGATCCGAACAAGTACTTTGCCGTGCACCTGACGCCGGAGCAGGTGCACCTCTCGCTGGGCGGTAAGTTGCAGCATTTTTAATTTTTTCAGATTTTCTAAAAATCTTTTTTAATATTTCACAGCTTTGCCGGACGAGTTTGTGGTGACCTGGGTGACGCTGAACCAGACGGCCACGCCCTCCATGGTCAAATTTGGCCTGGTGAACACCGGCGAGCGGGTGGCCACCGGCACGGTGACCGCCTTCACCGACGGCGGACCGCTGAAGATGGTCCGGTACGTGCATCGAGTTCGACTGACCAGCCTGCTGCCTGATTCGGTCTATGGTAAGTGGACTTCTATTTTTGATGATTTTTTGATGATTTGAGAGGAAAACCTTTTCGTTTTGATGCTCAGTGTACCACTGCGGAAGCTCGGACAGCTGGAGCAACCTCTACCGCTTCAAGACGCTGCCCGCGAAGAAGGTCGGCCCCGAGTGGACGCTCAACCTGCTCATCTTTGGCGACCTGGGCAACGGCCAGGCGAAGACGCTGTCAATGCTCCAGGATGAGGTGGAGTTTCGGAGGCCTGATTTGGTGGTACAGGTGGGCGACTTTGCCTACAACTTGGAGGTGAGCTGTTTTTGAGAATCTTGAGGGTTTACTAAAAAATTTTTTAGGACGACAATGGCCGCATGGGCGACGCCTTCTTCCGCGACATTGAGCCGATCACCACACAGCGGCCGTTTCAGGTGTGCGTCGGCAATCACGAGGCAGCTTAGTAAGTAAAATCACAGGTTTTTACAGTTTTTAACCTTTTTCCCCTTCAGCAACTTCTCCCACTACGACCACCGCTTTTCGATGTACTCGGCGGGCAACCCTGAGAATACTAGCAACTGGTACTGGAGCCAGAACATCGGCAACGTCCACCTGGTGGCGCTCAGCACCGAGTTCTACTATTTTCCCGAATTTTTCGGGCAGCGAGGGCTGCAGGCGCAGGCGCAGTACCGCTGGCTTCAGGAGGATCTGAAGAGGGCCAATTTGCCGGAGAATCGCCGCCGCTGGCCGTGGATTGTCACGCTGGGCCATCGGCCAATGTACAATGAGTTCTACGTTAATGATAAGGTGAGCGAGGAAAGTTTTTCAATGATTTTGATGTTTTAATATTTTTGGCTGCGTAGATCCGCGTCGGCGATGCCAACTTTCCCGGCCTGGAGAAGCTCTTTTATGAGGTAAGTAAAGAGGGAAGGGAAGGGTTTTTGTTTATGATTTCTAATCTGTTTTTTCATTATTTATTCGCAGAACGGCGTGGACCTTGCCTACTGGGGCCACGACCACATCTACGAGCGCATCCTTCCGGTCTACAACCGAAAAGTACTCAACGGTAGCTCCAGCGGTGATCCGTACCGCAATCCGAAAAGTCTGGTCCACCTGACGACGGGCTCAGCGGTAGGTGGTGTTTTAGAATGAGGATATTTTACGATTTTTATCATAACAAAAATCTTAAACTCCTCGTTAGGGTTGCATCCTCGCTCCGCCGGCACTCAATCCGCATCGGCCGGACTACAGCGCCTACGCCAACGCCGACTACAGCTACACGCGAATGGCCGTCTTCAATGACACCCACCTTAAGGTGGAGCAGATCTCACAGAATCAGGTAGGTGCTTTTCTATTTTCTTCATAGTTAGAATTTAAAGATACTTAGTCTATGTTTCTATCTTTTTTGCCCCGCCATTCCCCACTATAATATTTCCCCCTCGAAAGGCTGGCAAGGCAATCGACGAGTTCTACCTAGTCAAAGAGAAGCACGGCCCCTATGAGCCGGTCAATTAGTTTGCTCAAAAAATGTTGTTGTTTTTAGAAAAGCTTTATATCGTTTAAGATTTTATCACCACCATTATCATCACCATCACCATCATCATCAACCGTTTTTATTATTACTTATTATTCAGATGTGTGATGAGTAGTTGCCGAGGATGAGGATAAAGTAGACGACGATGTTCACCCCCAGCAGGCGGAAGGTGTCATGGCGAATGAGGTAGCCGTTGAGCAGGGTGAAGCCGGTGTCCTCCACTGTTTGCAGGTTTTGCGCCAGCAAGTGCAGTTTCAGGTGGTGGTAGAAAGGAGTTCCTTCTTTTGAGCTTTGTTTAGCTAGCTTTCCTACGAAGGAGAGGACGGCCACCGAGGTCTGCTCATTCTTGAGGACGACCAGGCCGGCGAGGTGGACGATGGCGCCGACGCTGGCGACGTGAAAGAGGAGCACCAGCCAGTAGCCGACGTNCCTCCTCCACTGTCTGCAGGTTTTGCGCCAGCAAGTGCAGTTTCAGGTGGTGGTAGAAGGGAGTTCCTTCTTTTGAGCTTTGTTTAGCTAGCTTTCCTACGAAGGAGAGGACGGCCACCGAGGTTTGCTCATTCTTGAGGACGACCAGGCCGGCGAGGTGGACGATGGCGCCGACGCTGGCGACGTGAAAGAGGAGCACCAGCCAGTAGCCGACATTGACGACGAGGGTCATCCGCGCGAAGAGGCAGACGAAGGTGATGAAGACGATGAGGAGGACGTAGAAGAGGAAGACCAGGCTGAGGTAGCTGCTCCAGAAGTGGTTGTAGGTGGAGATCTCCTCGGAGAGCTGATTCAGGGAACGGGTTCCTTCGAGTAAATGATAAAGATTGGGCTTTTGGGTGGAGTTTAGGGAGTTGAGGAGGTGATCAGTGAGCTGGCGTTGTTTGACGTGGATGTAGTAGGTGATGAGGACGAAGGCGACCAGGGCGAAGTAGATTACTGTGGGGGGATTAGAAATTAGAGATGATTT